TGGGTTCCGTCCAGCAGGTGTCCCTGTCACTGGGACGGGATGTCACTCAGACCCATCCAGTCCCACTTCTCTGAGACCACACTCACAGGTCAGTCTCCAGCTGATGCTGACATGCCACAGACCAGCGGTCAGGAAGGCAGACAAGAGTGTTCCATTCCCCGGAAGGCGAACCTCTCTTTGGAAATGGATAGGTCGGCAGAGTGCCGGGCACACGGTACAATCTTAGCAAGTACCCACCAAGTGGAAGCATGCAGTCTGATGTAAAGAAAACCTAGCCTTTCTGTGAGCTTGGTAAGTATGGTGACCTTGAAGGGAACAAGTCAGGATGGCTTTTTTTTTTTTTTTAAGAATGGCTTTAAGCAAACAAAAAAAGGCACAAGATTTAGAGTCAGACAGACCTGGTTTAAACTCCAGCACAGCCAGTTTCTCACCATACAGACAGGCAAATCACTTAATATGTCTGGTCTTAGCTTCCTCATCTCTGAAATAAGAATAATATCCACCCATCACCGAGTCTAGTGAGAATTAGCAGCAACGGTAATAGATAACACATAGTGAGTGCTTACTATGGACCAGACAGTGTCCTAAACACGTTTTATATATACACACACACACACACACACACACACACACACACACACACACACACATATATATATATATTTGTTTCATCCCCCCGCCCCTTGCCTTGATGTAGACCCATCCCTTGATATTAGCCCCATATTTGGGGATAGATAGAGACCAGCCTTGGCTCAAGCAAGTCTCCCAAGAATGGTCTGAGACCCCACTGACTTCAGTGTCTCATTGGGCCAGCCTCACGCAGCCAGGTCCCCAGACACACTCCGCCGACTTCCTGCGCGCACAGACTACGGGCCAAGGCCCTGGCTGGGCCACTGCCTTCAGGAAGGCCCAGTCACCCATGATGCCCAAATGCTCACTTCCACCCAGGGTGGGCTCCGGCTCTGGCTGCTCTGGCCTGGGCAGGGTGCCCAGAACAGGCAGCCCTGGCTGGACGGCTTTCTCTGGCCCTGACCATGGGGACAGGAGGCGGCAGCAGCCCAGCTGGGCCCTGGCCGTAATGAGGCCTCATTAGTGGGATCCAGCTGCTCCAGCCCCACTTTGGGAGGCCGACTCCCCCAGCCCCCACGCCTGACTTTTCTTAATAAGAGTGGGCATGCCTCCAGAGGGGCAAGGAATCTAGTTGCTTTGTTGTGCCCTGTGCCTCCAGAGGGGAGGTCCTGCAGAGCTAGGACTGAGCAGGGCGAGGGCTGCAGGGAAGCCCTGTGAGCTGAGGGGAGGGCACAGGATGGAGCAGGTGTGCTCCCAGGAAGGTGGGGAGGGGAAGGAGACCAAGGGGAAGGGAGGGCAGGATCTTAGGTCCAGAGAGGAGGCCTCAGGAACATGGAGCCTTTTCCTCTGGATCTAGATATCGTCCATTTTACAGGGAGGGTGTAGTTACATGTCTCCAATCACCTGGTTGATCACCTAGGTCACTGTTCAGGCTGTCCTGGCTAAGAGAGCCCCAAATCTGGGCTAGGCCTCCTATAAGAAGGTGCACTTCTTATGCCACTGCCACTATGTGCGAATCCCTGAGCTAAGAGAGTACCTACTGTGTGCCAGGCCCCGATCTAGGAAAGCACCCGATGTACCACCCCGGACCTGTGTTTGGAAAGCACTCACTGTGGGCCAGGACCTGTGTTAGCAGAGGGCCCACGATGCGCAAAGTCTGAGCTATAAGGACACGTACGGTGCCAAACTGGGGTGAAGAGAGCACCCCTTCCTATCAGCCCAACACCAGCGAGCCCCAGCTGTGGGCTAGGTCCTGCGCCAGAGGAGAAGCCCATGTAGGCCAAATTCCGTGCCAGGTAAGGATCCATGGTATGCCCCACGTGGAGCTGGGGGAGGACCCACTGTGCGCCTGGCACTGACAGATGGGCGCCCAATGCATGCCGAGTCTGTCCTGGGTGAGCGCCTCCCATGTGCTGGGGCTGGTGCTCGGTGAGGGCCTAGCGGAGGACAGGTTCTTCCCCTAGGAAGTGCCTAACGTCAGCCAAACCCTGTGCTTGGTAAACTCCCAGCATGTGCCAAGCCCCTATTAGCTGAGCACTTGCCACATGTCAGGCTGTGGGCTGGGGGAGGACTCACTGTGTGCCAGGCCCTGTGATGGGCATCGCAAATAAGAGGTGTACAAACTGTACAAATCCTCCTGTCAAAGCCTAACCGAGCAGGTCAGGGCGGGGCAGCCCCAGGTGCCTGTGGTGCTTGCAAAGGCTTCTGGGACGATTTAGATGCTCTGGCGCCTACCGCCCTAGCCCAGGTGACTCTGCTCTTAATCATCGCAAGGTTGCCCAATGACAAGAGCAACCAGGGTGCTCAAAGACACAGGGAGAGGCCAATGAGGCTCACCAAGGCCTCTGTTGGCCAAGATGCTGTCAGTGGGGACCAGGCACAGGGAGGGGACCAAATCAGCCAGCTGGTGACCTTGCTGGGAGGCCATGTGGTTACAGCCAATCCCAGTGGGGTTCTCCTGTCCTGGGCTCCTCTCCCCCAGCTCCCTGTCCTCTGAGCCTCAGGCAGCCCCGCCCCATGCGGGTACAGAGGCACTGGGTCTCCATGCAAGTATCACCCCACCCATCCTCCAGTGCCCCCAAGCATCCCAGCTGCTCCCAGGCTTGGAGGCACCCTGGCCAGCTGGGTTCTCGCATGGCCCTGTCCTAGGAGCTGCTGAGGCGTGAGGGAGGCAGCTGAGCTAGACCGGCAGAGACCATCTGGGCTGGGGGTGGGGGAGGGACACGTGCAGCAGGCATGTGGGCCTGGGCACGTGCTGAAGAGGGCCTTGCTTCCCCGCCAGGCCCCTGCCCCATGGAGAGCAGGGCAGGAGCTCCAAGGATGAAACAGGGTGTCTGCTGACACCGAAGAGAGCCTGGGGATGGGAGGGACCCATGTCCTCACACCCAAACCAGACAGAAAGGGGATGGAAGGAAGGACCCGGTGGCAGGGGTTAACTACCCTATCCCCACATACCAGGTTACAAATGGCAAAAGAAGCCACAGGCCTGGGACCGTCCATGCAGCTTACATGCGTGGCCCTCAGTAGCCTCTCTTCTGCCCTTACGCCAGCATGGAGAGGAAGGCATGTCTGAAAGGAGTGTCCTTAGCTCTCTGCCCTTAGGGGAGCAGAGACACCTAAAAATGGGCTGACTCAGCTAGCCAGGAGGGATGGCGCCCCTCGCAGCCTGTGTCCTAGAGACAGGCCCTGAATGGAGATGGCTTCAGTTTCCAAACTGGGGCCCGAGAACAGAGTAGCCCAAGGTCATCAGCAGAACTGAGAAAGAGGCAGGAATAGAATCTCTAGCAACCGCTGTGGTGGGGGATGGGGGAGCCCAGGGGACAGATGTTATGGGCCTCAAACCAGCAGTGGCAGGCAAAAGCCAAAGGGCAGAGGGCATCCGAGCCCCAGCTATCTTTAGGCACATCCTGGGGCTGGGAACGGGCGTCCCAAGGCAGCACTCCCTTCTACAGACAGGCTGGCCGGGCAGGGCCCGAAGTCCGGGAAGCCCAGCTCGGGGCAGGGATTATGGGACGCTGTGATTCATGCTCCCTCTGTGGCCTGCATCTCGACTGCTTGCTCCCACCAGTCCTTTCAGGGTCACTCCCAAGACAGAAGAGCAGCCAGGGAATCCTCCGAGGGTTTCTTAGGTTTCATGGGGCTCAGAATCTCCATGTAGCCTGGGGCAGAGCCACACCCCACTTCCTATGTGACGATTCCCAGAGTTCTCTGGGAAAGGGAGGCCATTTTGACTCCATCACGAGACTTCCTCTCCGCCCATCTGTGAGCACCCTGAGTTCAGGCTGGCTCGGGAGTGCTTTCAGAAGCTTGGCTCATTCAGACGTGTTCCAACGAGGTAGGAGCCAGGCCAGAGGAGGCCTGAAGGACTGAATGCTAGACGTTCAGAACGGGGTAGAATGGAGGGTCCTTACCCTGGAGGGAAACTGCCCATTTCTGCTCCCAGGCCATTCCTCTGGACCAAGTACTCGGAGCCCCAGAAATCTCTGGTGAGAGACAGGGCCTATTTAGGGGGTGGGGGAGCTCTGCAGAGACCCTAGGCCAGTCAATCCTTCACAGAATGAGAAAAGCAATGGAAGGAATTGATGTGGGCGAGAGAGGTGCCAAGAGCAGGGTTGCGCTCCGTCGCTGGATTCCTCCCCTGACAGCAGCCCCATCTAGTTTGTCCCCAAGGCAAGATCCCAACAGAAGAAACACAACCACTGCTCTTGGGATGGGATCTGACATCTTTTTCCCGGTTCCTGCTTCCAGTGCCAACCTGCTCTGTCCATCGGCGAGTCTTCCTCCTTCAAGCCCTGACCACGCCCGGCCCTTGCCTGCTGCCTCTCACGGGGCCTCACTACCACCGCTCCAGTGCTCCGTAGCAGTGGGCAAAGGAAAGGCCATGGCTTGGGGAAGGGGGAGAGGGGAGTTTCCTGAGGCCTCGGAAGAAGATTCAAATGAAATGTTCTCTGTTCCTTTTCAGAGTGAGAAGGAACCAGGGAAGGAGAGAAAAAACAGACGGTCTGAAGACCCCTGGGTTTGCACATACGGAATGCTCTGTGTGGCAGGCAGAGCACGGGGTGGGGGTGGGGTACTGGGGTCCAACTCTGTGATGGTCCTGGGTGTCCTCTTGTCTTTTTGGCCAGAGCACCTCTTGTAATAAGGATGGGGTGTGCGCTCCTGCCTCCTGATGTGCCGTCGTGGGCTCTGTGGCAGCATCGGCCCTGTTATGGGCTCAGAGCTACAATACCATTGAGCCTGTTGGGTAAGGGGCTGCCTACTTGGGGCCTGGAACAGCCCTACTACTCAGGAGCCCCAGCAGTGCAGCCAGACTCAGGGCCCCAAGAAGCCCCCTTGGCTCTCCTGTTATGTTAAGCAGCCAGCAGAAGGCCTCCGGGGGGGCAGTGCTCATGATCCCCCCTTCCTCCCTGCAGTCTGGTTCCTGTACTCACCAGCATCCCTTTGGCACCTTTTCCTACCATGGCAGCAGCAGGTTGGGGGGGCCCTGGAGTCCTGGACCACGCTCACAGGCTCTGCTTCCAGCACCTTTCAGACCACAGACCTCAAGAGCTGTGGAAAGAGCAGAGAGCGGGGTGGGAACCTGGCCCAGGAAAGTGAGGGCAAGCCAGGTGGGGTGGTCAGAGCTCTCCAGGACAGGTAGTGCTGGGCCTGGGCCACCAGCTGGCAGGCCCTCACTCCCCTCCCAGGCTGGCCCACCGTCTGCCAGACCCTTTCCCATCTGGTCCTTTCTGGATGACCCTCGATCAGTTCCTTCCTAACCCTTCTTCCAACCTTTCCCTTGAATCCCTTGGTCTCCAGGCTTCCTGTCCCAATGGGCAAAAGTCTATTTTTGACTCTCCAGATGCCCAATTCTATAAAAGATTAAAAAATGAACACAGGACTGGGACAGGGTCCAATTCCTTCATCGTCTGTGTGGATGGCTTCAACCTTTCTCCTGAAGGGGAGTCAGCGTGGATCAGCACGTGCTCCCCAGGCTCACCCAGCCAGGCAGCCAGGACGCTCCTTCCTCAACCTGGTGCCACTCATCTGGGGCTCCAGAACAGCCGGGCAAGCTGGACCTGGACCACAGGCTCTGTGAACACCAAACATGCAGTATGCGGGACCACCTCCCTGCCCTGCCTCAGGCCTTCCCCTGCCTGCAACGTCTTCCTTTCTGCTCACCCGGTTAAATTCTGCAAATCCTTTAGAACCACGCTGAAATGTTACATCTTCTCTGTAGCCTCTTCTGGCACTCTCCCCAACCAGAGTGAACAAACTACTTCCTCCTTTCTTTTTTTAGCAGGTTTATACTGGTGTCCTTATCAACTCATACTAGACTTATTTGTTTCTGTCCATCAACCTGAGTCTGTGCATTCCCTGCGGGTTGGGTCCTTGTTTCATTTACCTTCCACACCTGCCCCTAGCCCAGGGCACACAAGCCCGATGTCTTGCTCAAATGGGATTGAAGGGCAATGGGTGAGACTGAGGTATTGGAATGACAGTCCAGGCCAGCCAGAGACCTTGGAGGAAGCATCTGAGATGCAGTGTGGGCGTGATGAGCGGAGGCGGCAGACAAATGGAAGGAGTGGCCACACGGCCATGGCTGTACTGGTGTATACAGGTTTAATGTCAGACACAGATGCAATAGGGGCTCATTTTTGAGAAGCCTCAGGAGAGGATTCAACCTTCAAGGAGCCTCAAGGAATTCTCTCATGGGAGGAAAACCTGGATTAGGTGGACAAGGATGTTCAACCTCCATAGGGCCTGGTCCCAGGAGGGACTGGGTTCAGCTTCTGGGGCCTTCTCTATCCTCCCAGGGAGCAGACTCTACTCCAAAGGCTGTTCGGTGCCACTCTGCCCCACCCACAGCCACCTGTCAAGGGCCCCCTCTCTCCTATAGGCCCAGGAAGGTTTTAGAAGGCCAGAAGGGACGAGGAGGCAGCTCCTTGCCTGTGAAAATTCAGCTCTTGGATTCCTTAGGAGTTGGCCCCCGCCACTTGGTTCCTGCACAGTCTTCTCCCCAAGGTGGGTGCAGGAAGGGGTATGGGCATGGATAAGACCTGTAACCATTTCCCTTTCGTCAGTCACCCAGTCTGGCCTCTCTGCCTCTCAAAGGGTCCTCCTAAAGAGGTCCCTGAACATGGCTTTGGTCTTCTGGGGGCAGTCAGGAGAAGAGGGGGTCTGTGCTCCTTTGGAAGGTCATACCCTTGTCCTCCTCACTCACTGCACCCCTCCTTAAGCTGTAAACTCTAGATCTGACTTCCCCAAAGCTGTCCCTCTTCAGCCAACAAATGGTAATAACAGCCCATGGCATTATTCAAATATTGGGTTAGTAATTATTATGTCCCCTGATTAGGTAAATAAACTGAGGGCACTCTGCTCAGGAACTCAGGTTCCAGAGTGTTCTCACTCAGGTTATCCCTGAGCACAGACTACAAATATAGTACTTGTGCTCAGAGTGTTTACTGGTGACCAGAAGACAGCTTGGTGGTGGCTCCAGGAGAATGAATGAGTTGGTTGGAAAGCTTTGCTGCTTCTCCCACTTCTGCCATTTCTGTTAAATGGCCCTGTCCATCCATTCAAAAAGAACCACATATGGGCCGCCACTGGCAAGCAGTTAGTTTAGCATGTGATGAAGAGTTTGGGCTCTGGGACCTGGTAGGCCTGGGGTGGAATTCTGGTTCTGCCAGTTACTACGTATATGACTCCGAGCAAGTTACTTAACTTCTCTAAGGCTCAGTTTTCTCTAACTGGAAGACGGGACTAGTAATACTTCCTCTGTAAGTTCTGAAGTTTCTGCTTAATTTTGGACTCTACTGCAAGTCCCCCCCTCTAGCCAATTCATTAAGCTTCCCAAAGCCCTAAAGCCCGAATTCCCCCTCATGGTTCTCCACAGCCAACAGATATGGCCTAGATTGTTTAGTGGGCATTTAGGGCTGGTCACAATTCAATTACTTTATTCCACAAATATTTCAGGCTTGCTCTGGGCCAGACCTGTCCTGGGCAGCAAGAACTCATTGGTCTCTGCCCTCCTGCATCTAACAGACTAGGGGGAAAGGGAAACTCATGACTCAGATGTAGACAATCAAAGGCTGAGGGAGAAAGATCCTTCCATGAGAGCTGGGAGCAAGGGGACATGGCCTTGTTTGAGAGTCACAGGGGGCTTTCCTGAGGAAGCGATGTTAGAGGCTCAGGGAGACTTATTCAGGCAAAGTGGCAATAGTGAGGAAGAGAACAGGAAGAGAGATTCAAACAAATTAAATACGTGCAAATACCCTGAGGCTGCGCTCAGATCGCCAGGGAGAAAGTGGCCAAAGATGGAGGTGGACAGATAAGTAGGGTCAGGGCCTTTGGAGCCTGGATTTTGATTTTTATCTTGAGGGCAGTAGTCTCAATCAAAGGCTTTAGGGCAGAGTTGCACCTGGCAGGAGCAAATGGTAGAAGGTGCATTTTGAAAACATCACCCTAGACACAGTGTGGGGGAAGGACGAGAGGGAGTGGTTAGTGGAAGAGAAGTCAGTCTGGAAGAGGCCAGGCCACAATGACGGGGTGTGGATGAGGAAGGTGGCCATAGGGTGGGGAGAGGTGCACAGATCTGAGAAAAATATAGAAGCTGACGTTGGTAGAACTTGGTGATGAATTTCACAGGAGCTGAGAGACAAGCAGGGATCTCTGGTTTCTGCAGGTGCAACAGGAAAAAGCCAGTGCCAGGGCCAGGGACAGGAGTGTGGGGTGCTGCAGGTTTAGAGTGGGAGGCAGGTGAGCTGGGTGTGAGCTGCCTGGGAGCCACTCAAAGGTGGATGGTGAGAGGGCAGTCCCAGGACCCAGCTACCTTTGCTCTGTCTTTCCTTCTCCCCAGAGGGGGCTGTCTGTCAATCAGTTGTAAGGGTCCATCTGAGCCAAGCCTTGGAGTCCTCTCTGGGAATGGAAAGGTGATGGGCTCTTTCCCTGCCTTCAAGGACCTCATAGTTAAGGAGAAAGACAGAGGAGGAAACATAAATTCTGTTCACTGTGATGCTGGAGTGGAGGGTCTGTGGGAGCAGGGGATGGCTTCTAGTTTTGCCTGGAGCCCAAGTTGGCTACCTGCAGCCACCTGTGGCCATGTGGGACCATTCCCAGAGGTTCCTGCCTCCATGTTCGTGCAGGCAATTCCCTCTTCCTTGAGCATCCTTGTCCCCATTACCATCTGTATAGATCCTACCCAGCTTCAAAGCCTGTCCCAGTAGCATTCTCTTCAAGAAGCCTTCCTTCCTCCTCCAGCTGCAGTCACCTTTTTGCTGTACCCCCAAAGCGTGTACATCACATGAACACTCTCATCACATGTAGTGTCGCGGCATGGTTACTTGTGCCCAGCTCTCGCTCCCCACGAACTGGAGAGATCTTCCAGGGAAAACGTGTGATTGTTCTGTGTTCCCAGGGCTGGGCACTGAGCGGGCACCGCCGCAGTCGCAGTGTAGGCCAACTAAGGGGGGCGTTTTCTCTGCGGTCCTTGGAAACACTCGGGCATGCTCAGTGCCGCCAACCGGTTCCCTCACCCCCTATTCTCCAACCTTCCGATGCTCTCTCACTTTGGAGTTCTCAGGTCCTTCTTTCCTTTTCCATTTCTCGCTCCCCACTTCCACCCCAGCCTTTATCTTCTAACAATCGCAGCATCAAGCTTGTTTCAGCAAAGAAATAGACCCAGGCTTTGTGCAGAAGCTGCCAGCGAGCCGGGGACGCGGCTCCTTTAAGAGTGACCAGCGAGGGGGCGTGGTCTGTGGAGAGCAGGCCCGAAGGGGGCGCGGCTCCTTTAAGAAGCAGCCTGCGAACTGCGAGGAGGCCGAGGGCCGGCAGGCAGGGGCGCGGTCGCTCTTGGAGCTGCGGCACCTCCCGTAGCACCCTGATTCCTCGAAGCGGGGTGCGTCCGCTTTAATCAGGGTGCGAGGTGTTGGGGGGCGGTGTTACATCAGCCGCCACGTGTGGGCCTCTCAGCTGGTGTGGAGGCGGCGGCCCCGCCCCCGGCCCCAGCGGTGGAAAAGTACCGGGGCGCCGAGGTCCCCGCCCCCTGTCCCGCCCCCAGGCCGGCTCCGGCCCCTCCCGGCCCTCCTGGCTAGCCCCCTCCCGTCCCGCCCTAGCCCCGCCGCCTTCTACCGCCCCGCGGTGGCTGCGGGGTGCGGGGCGCCGGCTGCGGGTGGGCGCCCCCGGCTGCCAGGCCCCTGCCCTCACCTGTGGCCGCCCGGGCCCGCCCCACACGCACCCGAAACGAAGGTTGGGGTAGGGAGGGCGCGGATTTTCCCTGGAGTAGCAGCCCCCAAATAACTGCACGGCCGTAGTCCCTTCCCAAAGCCGTGGCCGGGAGCCGCGGACAAAGATCCTGGGGGCGTCGGGACCCCCTGGCGCGGCTTCCCGGGACCCGCAGGCGCGCGGGAACCCAAACCGGGCCGGTGGGTGGGCGGGCAGATAGGGAGGCAGGCCGGCTGAAGGGGCCAGATAGGCAGACAGGCCTGCCAGCGGTGCGAAGAGATGGAGCGGGAGCCTGCACGCGGGGCGCAGACCCGGCCCGCCGGTTCCCCGCCGCCGCAGGCCCCCGGCTCGCAGACCCACTGGCGCCCCAGACGGACCGTGACACGCTCTGGTTCCGGCGCTGCCCGCACAGCTCCGCGCCCGCCGCCCCCGACCGAGCCGGCGTCGGCACGCAGCGCCCCCCCTTCGGGAGCGCGCCCCCCCCTCCGTTCTCGCCCGCTTTAGCTCCTTGGTGACAGCGGTGACACCCAGACGCGCGCACCTACCCCCGATCTTTGCGGCGAGACAGACATCCTCGTGCGTGTACCCACACTCTTACCCACAGATGCCCGCATGCAAGAGCGATCATACACACACACACACACACACACACACACACACTCACGCCCGCTGGTCCTGGGGCTTAGCCTCGAGGAGCCACCAAACCCAGACCGACGGCAGGACAGACAGAGGCGCGGGCCGCAGCGCTCCCTTCCCTAAGCCCCCTTACCATGCTGCAGCCCCCGGCCCAGGCGTGCTGGGTCCGCACCGCGGTGCGCCCAGGTGGCTTTCTTAAAGGGAAAGTTGCATCAGCCTCCCGAGGCTCAGTGCCGCCGCGAGTCCGCCCGCCCCGCTGCTGCGCTCGCGGCTCCTCTAGAGCTTGTTGTGTTTTGGTTTCGGGGAGGCGGGGGCCAAGAGTTTGGTGAAAGTTTGGAGAGTGGAGAAGGCTTGGGAGACCTAGCCAAGTCCCTCCCCTCCCTGAACACAGCTCCCCTGGCCGCTGTCCCCCCCCTCCCCCATTTCATCCCCACCCCACTGGCCGACTTCTCAGGCTCCTCCTCCCAGGGAATAAAATTACAAGTCTCTCCAGCTTTCAGATGATTGATCCCCATAACCCCTGGGAGTGGGCTCCACAAAGGAGCCCCCTTCGCCCTTGCCTTGCTGCCCCCACCGCCCCCCCTCCAACCCCCAGCTGGAGCTCTTGGAGGAAGTAGATGTCGTTGCCCACTTCGACTAGCCTGGAATGAAGCCAGAAGACCTGGGGCGCTTTGGGGGGCTGGGGTTAGAGTTGGCCCTCCAGGCCCCTGCTCTTCTGCGCCTGCGTTGCCCCCAGGGAGAAGTCAGAGCAAATTCCATTGCCTTTGGAGCGGTGCCTCTGGGGACTATGGGCACAGCTGGGTAAGGCCCGGGTCTTAATCCTCGGAACTGGATGTCTAGGGGTAATTCTTCCTCCAGGGACGCTCCTTGGGCTACTGGTTTGGTCAGCCCTACTTGGCTGCTTGTTGCAGGGCTGCAGACACAAATCTGGGCCCCTTAATTCCCTCCCTGGGGAGACAGACCTGGGTTCCAATACTAGATAAAGGAGACTTTGCCAAAAGGAGTTTGCTGAGCCTCAGTTTCCTCCCCGGTGAAGTGGAGAGGATGAGCTGAGATGATGTGTATCCTTGTGTATAAAACACATTGCTCCAGGCTGCCTCCCTGGGCGGCAATGCCTGGTAGTTTGTGGAAAGTTTGCTTCCCTTGTGAGAGCCACCAGTTCGTACTAGCAGTCAGAGAAACAGGTCTTGCCCCAGCCTGAGTGGGGCATCTGCCTGGCAGGGGCCCAGCCTGGGGAGATGGTACGCCCTCTGGACCCTGCCTCTGTTTCTCACTGTGGTCTTCTTGTTCCCTGGGGACAGTCACCCTCCCGAGAAGCTGATAGCACACACCAAAGTCACACAAGTGAGATTCCACTTGATTAATTTACAATCAGAGGCATTGAGCAAGATAATAGGTATCAGGCACAAACATTTCCTGTCCACAGGAGCGCTCTCAGGCTGCACACAGCCCATTTCACAAACTCTCCCCAGGGCTGTAGGCTCAGACCTTACAACCTATTTACACTGGAGACCTGATTGGATCTGGAGAGACACTTTACCTCATCACCAGATTATTTGCATTTTTACCTTGTTCCCAAACCTAGCAGGGACAGCAGGTTAGGGAGTTCTGTTCTAGAACGAATGGCCAAGTGTCCTGTGCATGTGCACGCGCGTGCTCTAGTGCACCTCTGCCCGGGGAGTCAGCTGGGCCTGTGTGGGCTTACCCTGTGGATTTGAGGAGGTGGGTCTGTGTTTGCTAGAGGAGTTGTTGTGCACTGCTGCCACTTTGTGCAGTGGCAAGTGTGTGTGTGTGTGTGTGTGTGTGTGTGCGCGCGCCCCCAACTCCGGGGACTGGCAGCATCAAATTCGACAGGAGTGTCGAAGCCCTCCTTGACACTCCTGCCTAGGACATGCATTCTGTTTCTGGTCTCACTCTCCCTCCCTCTCTGGAGGCTCTTGGAAGAGTCCCCCAGGTAGGGAGTGGGGAAAAGGAAGTGTGTGAGAGGGGGTTTCAATGGGCTCCTTGGCTCTTGGAGCAGTAGATGGAGGGTGAAGGGGCACAAGAAGGCCCCAAGCAGATCAGTGAAGTGTCTGATGATTATTATGGCCTGAGGAGACTTCCTACCTCACACTAAGGCATCCATATGAAGGGAAGCCTTTCAGGAGATTCAGAACCAGACGCCCAGGAGGCCCTCAGGCTTTGGGACTGGGGGCAGGGGAGGGTGAGGTGCTCAGGGTTCAGCAACCTGAGGCCTTACTGGGAGGATAGTTAGGCATTAATTGGGAGGGGGGAGGTGAGGAGGCAGTTATCACCTTAGTCCATGGGTTGGGGGAAAAGATTTTCCCTGGGGTGTTTGGTGGGGAGGTTAGAGATTTGCCCATGAGGGTTTTGCTAGACAGAGATGACAGAACACAAAATATATTTGTATACGTATAGAGAGATTCATGGATGTGTGCATTTTACCCACCTTGATCCAGAAAGGGCAGCCATACAGTGAGTTGAATCCTGAGGAGAAACTTGAGAAAGATTTTGGCTCCCTGAGACAGGGACAAGAGCAGCTGTGTTTTTTTTTTCTTCCCCAACTAAAATGAGGCCCCAAGGGAGGCAGGTCTGGGCTGAGCCCAGGTCAGAACTGGATGGCCTTCGTCCCTGGCTGGGAGCTCCTGGCCCTGGGCAGCTGGCCCACAAAGTGGGAAGGGCATGGCTAGCCTGGACCATTGTCAGGAGAGTAGGGGGATCAGGCCTAGGACAGACAAGAGGACTGGTGGGATCTGCTGACCTGCTGACCTGCTTCTTCTTGTCTTCTTGGGGCTGGGCGAGAGGGCAGGCAGCCTGTGGCGGGGCCCCACCCATTGTGGGTTAAGGTGTGTCTCCCAAGCTTCCAGTTACAGTGCTATTTCCTGGGAGGGCTGCACCCAGCGTCGGATCCCCCAGTGCTGGCTGGCTTCCTCCTTTGTTGTCGTCAGCCTGCAGGATCAAGGCCTCTGTTGGGAGACACAGAGTTGGCTTGGGCCTGTGTCTGTGGCAATAGGGATAAGACCAGATGTGGGCCGCTTCTAGAGGGCACTGAAGGAGCTTGGTGGAGGGGTGCAGAGGGGGAGGGGCCCTGCTGAGACGTTGGGGAGGGTAGACGTTGTTTTGGGTTGCAGCCTGTTCTGACCATTGATCTCCACCTTCTTGGAGTCCCAGCCTCAGGAACAGGGCAAGATTGTTGGGAGTGGCCCACGTGGGCTCGGCTCTCATATTCTTTCTCGAACTTGGAGCCCAGTGCTCAGTACCTGGCATCTTCCCTGTCCTATCCTAATGCAAGGGAGCAGATTAAATTGGTTCCCAATCCAGGAGATGTCTGTGGGGTTCCGTGTGTCTCTCAGATCATTCTGTTGAGCTGTCTCTGGGTCTGGTCCAAGGGGGCAGCATGAGCCAATCATGGGGCTCAGAGCAGGGTGTCAGGCTGGATCTTAGCAGCTCCAGGTGAAATCAGGCCTATAGACTGGAAACGCTGGCTTTGGCCCTGTCTGGGGTTGGGTGGGTGGGTAGCCCCAACGTCCAGAGCGTGCAAAACCCAGATTCTGAAACACCATAGATCTCCCCAAATCCAGAATACCCAATGCCAAGGGTGCCAGAGCTCCCAACACTTCAGAGAACCCAAAATCCAGAGTTCTCAATACCCAGAGCCTCAGGGGTCCAATACCCAGGTGGGCTTATGCCCGGGGTACCCAACATCTAGATCATCCAACATTCCTAATACCCAATTTTGAAACTCACCAGAGAACAACCTGGAGGGGATGGAGCAGTGCCCCTGCATGGCCCAGAGCCCTTCAGGGACTGGTGTAAACTGGGGAGCGACCATCACTGGAGTTGGGGCTGTGGGTGGTGCTGGAAATAGCAGTTATGCTTCCTCATTGCCCCCATCTTGGGTCCGCAGAGGCCAAGAGGGGACACAGAAGGGCTGGCTTTCTCCCAGGCCCACCCCCACCGCAGTCACAGGTCCCGTATAATCAGACATCCATGGACTCACCACATAGGAGTGTCCATGTGCAAGGTACTGGGAATTTGCTAATCTCTAGGAATACAGAGGAATACATGAAGGGGGAGGGGTCCCCGCTCTCCCATGTGAGAGGTAGGATAGTGTGCCTCTGCTGGTGTGTTGGTGTGGCTCACCACGTGGCCATCTGTGGCCGAGGGCCTGTCCGTGAGATGGAACGGCTGTTGGCGTGTGATGGTGTTGGTCAGAGGCTGTGAACGTAAACTTGATGACACAAGCAAGCTGACACACGTGACTGTCAGAGCAGGTCCAGCTATGTCCACCTGTCAGGACATCCTTCTAGTCCCTCCCTACCTTGCCACTTTCCACGGGAAGTGATGCAAGGCCCCTATTTGCCAGCATCAGGCCTCCCTGTGGGGAGTAGGGGGCTGGCTCAGAGCTAGAGGCTGATACCCAGAGCCACTCTGCAATGGTCCTGGAGATTTCTCCGGCCCCTGCCAGACCCAGAGCCTCTTTGGATTGAGAAGACCAGAGGGGGGTGGCTCTAAGTGAAGCAGCCAATACCAAAAATAGCCATCCACCCTGGAGAGGATGCTGGGACATCCAGCCCAACCCACCCTGCTGACCTGGAGCCTGGCTAAGACTCCTGTCTAACGCCACTTCCCCAACTCCCATCTCGGTGGCCCCTTTAGACTCAAAGGAGGAGCAATGATGTCACCACAGATGATGACATCACAGGGAGCTGTGACATGGCAGGGAGGGACACCAGGCTCTGGGTGTGGGTGGCATAGGGCTGGGTGGGTGGGGCTCCATCTACTGGCAGCTCCCCAAAGTCCCAGCAGCTGGGGATGGCAGGACTGGATAAGCCATGTTCGGGGGCCCTGCCTTATCTGTCCCCCCCACATGCCTGATAAGCCTCTTACCAGGGCAGGCCCAAGGTGCAGGCAGGGAGAGGCTGGAAAAGAGGAAAGGGTCAACTGGGTCTGGTTGAGCTCCAGGACAGACAACAGGGGTCAGGGTGTCCTGGCAGAGCCCCAGGAGGCGGAGGGGAGGGGTCTCTGGGAGAGCAATGCAGAGCAGGGGTTACGAACAGGGTTTCTGAAGCCAAGATACCTGCATTCATACCCCAGCTCTTCCATTTCATATGCGGGTAAACTGGGCCCTCGGTTTCTACAATGTTCCTCAACAAGAATACTATTAGAAGTGACCGTCAATCATAGTATTGTGGGGATCAAGTATGCGTGAAGTAGGCATAGAAAAGGGCTTGGTATATAGTAAGTACTTGTCCTGCTTCCTAGGTGAGATCAGAATTCTCACCCAGAGGTGCCCATCCTACCCAGCAGCACATTCTGGTGTCCTGAGCCTCACTGGGGTCTG